GTCACTCCCCTTGCTTTCCACAATTATTAGCTCTCTCGATTCTTCTTTAATTGTGGGATTATTTAACCCTCTCCAGGTGCCCAGAGGCATACATTTTACATATGAGCTGTCAAGGTTTTAATAATCTTTGCATGCAGCGTGCACATTACGCATTCTTGCACCCTTCATACACAATCTCATTCATGTAGGCCACGAGGCCTTTAAAACGCATATGACTCATGAGATCAAAACAACTTCTACAAATGTCTTCTATAAAATTTCATCAGAATTGTAACCACCCGCTGCACCACACGAAATTAAGTTGGATATGGGAGCGTGACTTACACAGATCACGGTAGCAAAGCAGGTACGGATACTTAAGAACTTCGAACAGCGGGAAACGGAGACGGTCGTGGAATTCTGCAGGCGAGATCTTCGACACCGGCTCCTCGCGATCATCTTCGATAATAAAGATATCGTCCTCCTCCAGCTCCTGGTCCAGAACGGTTCCCAACAAACGCACGAGTCGAGCTTTCTCCATTTCCCACAAACGCTGCAAGAGAGTGAGAATTAGTGTCTATGAGGTCACATGCAAGCTCAAAAGAACACCACATTTACCATAAATGTATTTACCAGACGCCTTTATTTACAATGACTTCCAAATGAGGAACTAAAGCAATTCATTTATAAATCCAACAATATTCATAACATACAATGCCAGTTTAATTAAGACAACTAGATTAGAAAGCAAGCTAAAGAAGAGATGTGCGGAGTAGAAACATGGCGAAAACGACACCAAGGTCTTCTGTTCAAGAAATGCATGTGCTGATAAAATGTATAATCTTGAATGCAACACAAGCTGCTTTGAATGAAAGTCTACTAAATGCATAAATATAAATGCATAATTACACTCAACATGTGGTTTGTCTTGTAACGGATTATCCATCTATTCAATCTCTCCTGAACGTCTATCATGATTGTGCATGTAAATAAGGAATCGTTACATCTTGGTTATATTGTATTGAATTGGTGACACCACATTGGAAAAACTGTCATGAATCCAATTAATCATAAAAACAGACCAACTTCCTGCACTGAAACAAGCATTTATTTTTGGCAGAACATAAAAATAACATTGACTACATGGATATTTTTGACTTAATCGGCTATAGATAACTTAAGTCCAGACTACTTGAGACAGATTTAGTTATAGCATTCACTTCCATGGCTGTTGTTAAAAACGCACTTTTGACCTTCCTAGAGCATAAATTTCAGCATTTTGGATTAAACAGAAGGCACGCGTTTCTGTGCAAGTTTGTTGTGATCGGAACAACTTGAAAGTTTGGTAGTGTGCGAGATCGACTCGTGCGTTTGTTAGGAACTGTTCTGGACAAGGAGCTGGAGGACGACGATATCTTTATCGGAACAATCTTTTTGCATTTCTATTTGCTCCAAAACCAGAAAAAAATTTTTTTAAGTCAATGATAGTGTTTCTATGACGCCCCCCCACAAAAAAAAAAAAAAAAAAAAAAAAAAAA